CTCACCAGCAACTCTGCACAAATCACACCCCTCTGTTGTCGTGTCACCTTACAGAAAGAAACCTGCTCACTCCTGAGGAACCCAGGATCTGGGTGCAGCTTGGGAAGCAAGGGCCCTTGACTGTGAACGACTACCCACCCCTCCGCGTTCTTCCACGTGGCCGGCCCCACCTGTCAGGCCTGCCGCCCACGGGAAGCTTTCCTGACCCCGCAGCCGCGGCGATCTCTCCCCGCAGACCCTGATGGTTTAGAGCTCGGCCGCGTGGATAAATGATGGCTTGGGTCACACGCTCCACATGACCGTCCTCTGTCCCCAGATGGACCTGAGCCCCAGAGCAGGGGATCGTGACCCCTCCGCAGGACTGATGCGAGCAGTGCAGGTGAAAATGATTCTCGACGGGCCCTGCGGGGGAAGGAGCTCTGCTCACCTCTGTCAGCGTTTTCTTTTTCTCCTCGTATCTGGTTTGCAGGCTGCCGTGACTTGCCTGCAGCTGCAAAAGAAAAGATAAAAGGCATGTGCTTTCATTTGAGCCCCACAGCAGCACAGACACGAGTGGTCTCCACATTTCAGAGATGAGAAATGGAAGCCCGGAGAGAAACTGAGCACATGTGGGGATTTCAGACTCAGTCAGCACCGACTACACGCCAGGTGAGGGAGGCACTAGGTGTTCTGCATAAACCCTAACCGTGAATGGAGGACATTATTCTTACTCTACAGATGAGGGGATAAACGCTCCAGGGGTTAAGGTACTTTACTGACTCCATAGCTGGTAACTGATAAAGCCTGGATTCAAATTCAGGTCTGACTTCTCTGTATGCTACAGTCAACTCAGTGAACCAACTTGCCCGTTCACAGAACACGAACTGCACCACTGGGGCACCCAGAATCCAGCACAGGCTGCGCCGGATGGCAGGCGGGGCCAGGTAGATGTGAGAAAGGAGGCAGGACGACAGTACTTAGTAAAAGAAAGCGCACCTCCTTCACTGTCCGAAGTCCCACGGCCATAGACTTACACCTCAAAGCCACGTCCCTTCTCCTCACTAAAAAGGTGTATCCTTGTGCTGTCTGTGATCCTGCCACTTTCTGAAAACACTCCATTCAAAGCTCAAAGGGTTTGTCCATTTCTACTTTTGCAAAAAGGAAGTTGAAAAAGACCGCCGTCAGGCTCATCAGACTCTTTGGTTGTTACCTGCGTACAAATTAACAGTGAGAAAACTTGCCTCTCAAAGATTATTCCAAAGTAACTCGCCCCATCCTTGAACCAGTAAGCAACCTGTTCAGAGTTCTGTCCCCTTCAGAGAACTTCACTACTACACGGTGCTTCTAGCCACCGGTTTTTGTGACTGATGAATCTCCAAGGAGGCCTCTCGGGAAGCCACCTCAAGTGGAGGCAGAGGAGACACCGGAGGGGAGCTGGGGTGCTCTTGCTCCTTGCTTTTCACAGGGAGCCTTGTGTGGCAAGGACTTTCATTAACCCGTCTGTGTCACTGGTAGGTGGGGAAAGTTTCTCCTCTTGAAATCCTAGGGATGTACCCTTGAAGCTCCAGGAAGAGGTCCTGGCATCTTCCCACCTGCTTCACCCACTGTCCTGCTCACCTGCACCCCTGCACCCACCACCCACCCAACATTTACCCAAGGATCTGCTCAGTGAGGTGTGTGATGGAAGAGGAACACCATGGCCTAGTCCTTGCCTTCAAGGAGCTGGACCAGGAATCTGGGGATGGATGTGTAAGGTGAGCTGGCTCAGAGCCAGGCTCTGGGGAGGCCAAGGAAAGCGGCACCCTGCTTACCAGGGAGGTCGAGGAAGGCTTTGCCCACAGAGACTCATGGGGGCTGGCTCTTGGCAGGGAAGCTGGAACTTGCTAACGAAGGGAAGACTCACCTCTTCTCCTTAATTATTAAGAGCCTTCTTCATCTTCTCAACTGACCACCTCTTCTTTAACAGGGAATGTTCTGGTTACTTAGCTAAGTTTTCGTCTTGCCAGAGTCTCAGCCATGAGTCCCCTACCTCTGTGTCCTTCTTCATCATTAACCCCTAGACTTACACCCCAGTTCAGCCGCTGGTTAACACTGCCTTTCTGGATTCCTCTTCCTCAATCTCAGGCTCCTTCCCAGCTGTGTACTAGCTGAACTGCAGTCTATGCCTTCACCACATATTCCCCTGTTGGACCATGAGATGTTCTTTACTCCTCCTCCCCCTTTTCCTCCTCCTCCCATCTCTCTGTTGGGCTAAGCCTCTCTCCGTGGTTCCCACCCTCCAGGCCACACGTACATCCTGCTTGCTTTCCACCCACACGACCTTGTGGGAGAGGCTCTTGGATTTAAGGAGTTTGGATTCTCTCACATACTACTGGCAGGAATGTAGATGAGTAAAATTATTGGTGAACAACTTGACGGTTTCTAGAAAAACTGAAAATGCATATACTTATGGATCTACTTCCTAAAATCCGTCTTACAGAAATATTTCCATATTTGCACAAAGATGACTGTATAAAGACGTTCATGGTAGCATAAATTTACAGTTGGGGGAGGAAACCTGGAAAAAGCTACATGCTCATAAACAGAGGACAAGATAGATAAACCATGGTACATACACACCCTGTCCCACTCCGCAGTCATTAGAAAGAATGAGGGAGAGCTGTATGTTCCCATCCTGGGCCTTCCGCTAACAGGCTGTGCGACCACAGGCAAAACAACTTCCTTTCTCTGTGTCTCAGGTTCCTTGTTTGTATAATAAGGGTAATAATAGGACTTCCTCCACAAGTATGCTGTGTGAACTGAACGAGTTAGTTTGGTAAAACACTTTGTAATTACCCCATAAAAAGTCCTTTTTAGTCATTACTATTACTAGACAGAGAGATATCTGTGATTAAAATAAATGAAAAACAGACTCAATTTTTATAACCAAGATGACCCACTCTCCCTAGGAAACAGGAAGTTGCTCTAAGGGGAGGGACCGGGCAAAAGCGAAAGGGGATTTCCATTTCCATCTTCATATGGTTCTGTACCATTTGGTTTATTTACAGTGGGCTTGTATTATCCCTATAATTAAAAAGACATAAAGACGCTGAAGCATTTACACTGATAAAGACAAAAAATGTGTTCGGCATACTGCACACGCACATGCATGTGGAATATATACTCTTTCACGACTCGCTGCTCAGGGCCCACCGAGAAGTGAGGGTGAGGGTCGCTGCCCAGGCCCTGGGAGGCATTTCAGGGGGTGAGAGTGGAAGGGCCGGGACAGATGCTCCAGAGGCCTGGATTCTTACACAAAAGGCTTGCTGTTGGTCCCTGCACCCCATGACTTCTGAGCCTATTAGGTGATGAAGGAATTCTGTAGACCGGCTAGCCTAGAGGCAAACCACCTTCTACAGGAGGGCAAATTTAGGGACAGTAACAAAGTTCAGTGGCTGCAGATTTTCCTGTGGGATGTTCCGGATGAAGTGGATTGAGTAAGTCACCGGCAAGGATGGTGCGTATTCTTATAGCTTAAATCATCATTTAAGAAAAATTGTTTATGAACATGTTGATGTTGGCTTCTAATCTTTACCAAACATTCAGATCTAGGCTTATTTGAGAAACATACATGCTAATCTTTTGTTCCTTATATTTGCATAAAGCTTGTCTTGTAAAAAAGTGAATCCCTGCCTGTATCCTCACTTCATCCTTGAAGCAATCTCTCCAGACACATGTTGAGCATCACTTGAGACCCCCAACTCCTATGTGATATGTGACCCTGGATTAATCTCCCCTTCTACCTCGTTTTCATCACCCAGTTGGCCAGCCCCTGGCCAGGGGCTGCTGGGCATGCTGGTCATCTCCAGTAACCCAAGCTACAGCAAAGACTGCCATCCTTTAATGACAGCCTGCAATATATCAGCCAGTGTGGCTGGAAACTAACGGGCTCTTGGTAAAAACTACTGCAAAACAGACTGATCAGAGAGGACCACCCTTTCAGCTGGACTAAGACTGTGCCTGAATTGCATCTGAGAGGCTTACCATTCCTTCTTCTCAAGTCTGGACGGGAGATGAAGCAACATCCACTCGTGCCGAGCTACTCTGGCTCATGGGATCTGCAGTTCCCTCAAAACCATCCTCCCTCAGGGGATGAAGACATTATGACAAAGAAGCCTCATCCTTGATTCAGGGTCATGTTGATTCTGTAATGAGTTCTTTGTGAACCAATCACTTTCAGGTTCCCATCGCTGGCAAGGGTCAGCAGTAGAGGTGACACTCTCTGAGCTAAGCATTAAAATGTCCAAACAAATCATCAAACGGAAACCAAATCACAGTCAAAATTTACATCCATGTTTGCTTATGATCCAGAGCATTTTGGTAAAGCCAAACTGTCGTTTGTTCAGCTATGGTAGAATAAATTCTAATAGAACAAATTCAAACAGAGGGATGACTAAGTAAGGACCATTTGATATAATAATATTTTTTGAATATGTGGGACTTGAAAGGATGAAAAACGTACAAGTTCAAAATGCCAACTGGCACCCATTTTTGGAAAATCAATTGTCATATGAACTACTGGTGAACTGTTCTTTAGAGAGCCACATTCATTCCCAAAATCTTCTGCTGTTTATGTATTTGTCTAATTAATTAAATCTTATTGCCAATGCAACTGAGGCATGTAACGATTTTTTGTCTTCTTATGACTGATCCTGAGTCAAACTCCAAAACTTCCTCTAATGTCTACTTCCCAAGGCAAATACATGAAAGTCTCCACAACAGTCCCACCCATGATCCAGGATGCCAGAAAGCCAGCTCCCAAAGCTCTTTTAAAAATGACCTGGTTTCCTCCACTTCCCTACCGCCACTAGTCAAAGCCACTGACAGCTCACGTCTGGACTACTGGGCCAGACTCCTAATGTGTTTCATGAATCCCTTCTCATCCGAGTCCAGTTAGTTCCTGTTCCCACGGTGAACAGAATGGTCTCTGAAACATGCAAATCTGATCAGGCCCCTCCCCTACTTAAACCCTCCAACGGCTTCCACCGTCTGTATCATGACCTTTCTGATTGGACTCTGCGACCACCTGCCTTATTCGTGACTCTCCAGGCACAAAACAGAAATTGGCCAAGACCCTTCCTCTCGCAGGTCTGAGTTCATGTCCTGTCCTAAGTCGCCACCCTGCCCACACAGATGTCCTGCTTGGCCAGCACCTACTCAGTCGCTGTCCTCCGGTCCCACGCTCTTGGCTCTCCATCACAGCTCTAACGAAATGATGCTGCGGGACGTCTTTGTCAGTGTGTGTCTCCCCACTGCTACCTTCAGACCCCTGAGAGGAGAGATCATAACTCGTTCGTCCACCAGCACAGCCTAGCTCAGTGCCCAGCACGCAGCAGTGCTTGGCTAATCTCTGCAAATTAACAGACGCTCCTCTTGTCCTGTGATCCTCTAGAACAGAGGCTGGCAAACATCCCCTCCCTATAAGGGCCAGACAGTACATATTTTAGGTTCTGTAGGCCATATGGTCTCAATTCTGCCACTAGAGCTTGAAAGCAGCTGCAGAAAATACGTAAATGAATGGAGTGCGTGCATTCCAGTGTAACTATTTCCAAAGACAGGCGGCACTGGACCCCCACGGGCCTGAGCGTGCCGACCCCTGTTCTGGAACCTCCGTTGGCCCTTCTGCCACAAAGACCTTAACTCCATCCCTGGTTTCTCCCTTTTGGAAGAACGGCTTCATGTTACTTGAACGAAATTACGGAAAGAAAACACTAACCTCTTCCAGACGTTTGGTCTTCTGCAGAATCTGCTTGTTCAAGGAAAGGACTTTCCGACGATGTAGCTGGGAGGTTCCTAACTTTTCTGGACTTTCTTCAGCTGACAGCTCAGACTGCTGTGGGAAACAGAGGGCACACCCAAAAAGGATTTAATTAGTCTGCCTCGGTTCACTGAGACAGCCCACCCCAGCTCAGTCTGGGCAGAACGCTCCTGGGCAGACGGTCACACCAAGCCAGCGGAGCACGGGGTCCTGTGCAAAACCCAGTCCAGAGAAAAAGATTCTTCTGACACAAAGACCAAAAGCCCTTTCAAGAGAATCTACATTCCCAGTAGAGTGAACAGCATGTGCAGAAGCCCGGGGATATGTAACTGCCATTAGTTAGGCTGACAGCACATAAGCAATAGGGTCTCATTAAAGGGTCTCACAGGGAGGAATAACACGGTCATCCCAGTATCTTCCTAAGGCCATTCTGGAGTTATCAAGAATGACTGTGAGGGGGAGGGCATAGCTCAGTGGTAGAGTGCATGCTTAGCATGCACAGGGTCCTGGGTTCAATCTCCAGCACCTCCTCTAAAAATAGATAAACAAATAAACCTAATTACCCCCCCCTGAAAAAGACTAAAAAAAAAGTAAAAGAATGTGAATTGATTCACTTTAAAAGTATTGTACATATATAGTTAGAAAATGTAATCATTCAGAAGCACTTACAATGAAAAGAAAAAGCCTCTCAGCTTACTTCTCCCCATCCATGGGCCCATTCTCTTTCAATCATTTCTTATTTCTATCCTTCTGGTGTTGGCAGATGGTAGATTTGAGAGGGATGAGAGATGCTGAGAGAGGCCAGCAGGAAGTTCCTGAAGTTGTGTAAGTGACAAGGGGATGGAGGAGGAGGACTGGGCAGGACGCGGAGCCTGTCGGGACGGGAAGTGGGTAAGGAAGAGACTTCTAGATGGGATGATGAGGTGAGTGCAGCAACGTTATCAAGAAACCATGCAAAGAAGGAGGCAGCTTGGTGTAGTTACTGAATACAAACACTGGCCTCAAGACACCAGGGAGGGAAGCCCCAGGGAAAAGAAACAAGGAGGCCAGCCCTATTCCAACAGGTGCCCTTAAAACACTTCTTGGATGATCACAGGATAGATAGCTTTATTACACAATGAATTAAAATGAACACCCATTATAACCACACTTCCTTTTTTTCACTGGAAGTATCCCAATTCCAAGCTGTTCATTAACTTTAAGCCCAAGTACAAGAAAACTAGTTGAATATTTGATTTTCCCTGTATGCTTTGACAGTGATCATGTGCTTGAAAGTTTGGGAAGATTTACCTGTGAGGAAAAGAGACAGAAAAGTGAGAAGGAGAAGAAATGGGATGGTATAGTCATTGTTTAGATTGGTTAAGGATTACCCTGAATAATCCAGAGGTGTTTTTAATGGCTGATGAGTTTTTTGCTGCTTAACAATGAAGGTGGGAGACCACCAGCAGGATACAGCTGCATAAAATGCCAGACAAGCATCATTTTCTATCTCATGGGCGGGTAGGCCACAAAGGAGACAGAGCACCCCCTCCTCTTGATTTTCAAATCACTCGTCAGAAACATAATTATAATTAACTAATTATATCTCCTCCACTCTGCATCACCCTGTACTACGTTATCAATTTGGCCACTTTTGTCTGTTACATATTTAGCAGCTTTTTTCTTATAGTTAATTTCAGATTTGGGTTTTAATATGCAGCTTAGATCCCTTGATACTGATTTCCAAAATGTCACCAGCATCTCCTAAGAGCGTTTT